GTGATTTCTCCATCAAGAAGTGCTTAGAAACTTCCGGTGATGGATTTTTCTTGTGTTTTAATACCAATTTATCAATGAAATGAAAGAGGGACCCTTAATGCTGTTTACAGTTGCCGATGAATATTTTTAAAGCGTCTGAACAAATTAAGAATTATTCGGAGTGGAAAAGCTAATTTATTTTGCAGAGAAATGCTGTCTCGAGAAAAAGAAGGTCTAGCAGTTGCTGCTTACAAAAACGACGAGCTCGTGGTCGACCTCTGGGGCGGATATGCTGAAAAGTAATTTATTTTTACTGACGAGAAAGGACTAAATATGTGTTTGTAACAATTTAACTGAGAAAAATATTTTAATCATATTTGCTAACCGTTTCTTCTGGCAAAATAACTAATATTTTGGAGCACATTATTGGCGGATTTTTTGATTTTTAGCAAAATATTTTGAAATATTTTGCAGCAGAAATTTAGCAAAACAAAACTGTGATCTGTTTCTTGTCAGCGCAGTACTAGTCTTAATAATACTTGAATGCTATTAAATTCTTTCTTTGACCGTCACCTAAAGAAATCTTTCAAAGTAGGTTAGCCAAAGAAAAAGGTTAACATTTGTTTGTTTTTAGTTGCTTGTTGTTTTCTGTGTTTCAGTTTTCCTTCCGAATTAATTTTTCCGGAGAAAGCTGAAAACCAAAATTTCTGAACTGACCTTAGAAGAATGGACTGTGAGAGAACAGCTTCTGGAGTGTTAGATTTTAAAGCATTTTTGCAAACATCGAAGCTATCAGTGCATCGTAATACGTGATTTCAAAAAAAATCTTCTCAAGACAGCATTTTAGAAAGTAATTTTTGGTCACTAGGAGACAAAATACTGTAATATTATAATGATCGGGCACATACATCGGACTGAAGGTATGTGGCTCAATATCCGAGGGTTTGGCATAGCTGTTCCAGGCATATGAGAACATCCCAGTAATATCACTAACACGGGATAAGCAAACTTACTGCCCGAGTAGTCTTGTTATAATTAGCCCAGTTCTGATAGCCTAGGTGCGAAGTTGACACCATTCCCGGTCTTGGCGTATTGTAATGAACCAAAAATGAAATTATCACCAGCATAGCGCAGAGCTGCGTTTCGAGCGTGGAGCCGCGATACGATGACTGTTGTTTTCTCGTCAACAAAAGCAATTGGTGCACTGATCATTGCGATTTTGGTAAGCCGTGGGCATCTACACTATGAAGATAAGGTTCGTTCCAGTTTTGCAAAAGAGAATTGCTCCAGATCCCGTGCTTTTCTATAAGTAATAATCTCCAGCTGGTGTTATTATTGTTACTAAAATGCAATCATACACCAAGACTGAGCGTATATGTAGATTTTTTGCTTCTTCGAATCTGCTCCCCCAATGCCAACATTCACTGGATATTGTTTTTGAAAACTGTCTAAGCGGCTTCCTGCTTTCCAATGGGATATCATCTCTTGGTGTAAACAACACCCATCGGCCGTCATCAAAATGAATATAACGGGGTGCCGAATTCATAGTAGAATCCAAGGCCTTCTGTCTGTACAGCTAACAACTTTCCAGCTGCTTTGACCAGTGCTAATTCACTTAGTGGTCAGTAGACTTCGGTTTTGTCTTCTGAGAAGGTTGTCGGTCCAGCGATTCCCTCGACAGAAGCATTTGACAAGGCCTAATGATTTTAAATTATCACTGATGTGTGTTACGCATCAACAGCTCTTTCTATTTGTTTTTTTTTTATCACTAATAAGTATTTACAGGTTGTAAAGTACTGGCCAGAGTTTGGAGCTCATCAT